CGAGAACCTTTACCATTCGGGTTCGGTTGGGGAGACGTGTATGAGGATATCAGTTGATTCTCTGCTTTTGAGTTTGATCAGGGAGGCTCGGGTTAAGGGAGTTTAGAAAGTGAATTAGAAACAATAGAGGATCAGAGGCGAGATTGATAGATTTGTCACGGACAGTCGAGGGTTATTGACCCGGTGTGGTCGGGTCTGGGTTCCAGTTTTTGGTGGTCGTATATGAAGAGGGAGATAGTTTGGTATATCGAGAGATGCTTGACCTGCAGGATAGTCAAGGCTGAGCACCAGAGGCTGCATGGCAAGCTGCAGTCTCAGGAGGTTCCCATGTGGAAATGGGAGTAGATCATGATGGATTTTATTACCAAGTTGCCGAAGACGACAAAGGGTTTTGATGCTATATGGGTCATCGTGGATCGATTGACTAAGAGTGCTCACTTATTGGCTATCCGGGAGAGTTCTTTGGCCGAAAAGTTTCTGTCTCTAATGTTTCTGACCGAGATGTTTATGTCCGGGAGATTGTTGCTCACCATGGGGTTCCGGTCTCTAATGTTTCTGACCGAGATGTTCGGTTCACTTCCCGTTTATGGCAGAAGTTCCTCGAGGAACTGGGCACGAGATTGCATTTCAACACTGCTTATCATCCGCAAACCGACGACAGAAGTGAGCAGATGATACATACCCTTAAGGATATGTTGCGAGCCTGTGTTATCAATTTTGGTGGGAGTTGGGATTCCTACTTACCCCTTACAGAGTTCTCTTACAACAATAGTTATCACTCTAACATTGGTGCTCCGCCTTTTAAGCTCTTGTATGGTCGGAGATGCCGTACCCCGGTTTGTTGGGGGGAGGAGGTTGGTCACAGGGTTATGGTAAGGACCGAAGTAGTCCTTAAGACCACATAACTTATTCAACAGATTAGGCAGAGACTGCAGACCGCTTAGAGTCGGCAGAAGAGCTATGCCGATAGGCACCGATCCGAGATGGAATTTCAGGTCGATGATATGGTATTACTGAAGGTCCCACATTGGAAAGGTGTGATACGCTTCGGGAAGAGGGGGAAGTTGATTCCCTGATATATTGGACCTTTCCGAGTGATTACTAGGGTTGGCAAGGTTGCTTACAGGTTGGATCTACATGAGGAGCTCAGTCAGACTCACATCACTTTCCATATTTCGTAGCTCTGAAAGTGCGTATTGGATGTGGATGCAATGGTTTCCTTGGATGATATTCAGGTCGATGAGCACCTGAACTATGTTGAGAGGCCGATAACTATTTTAGAAAGAAAAATAAATGTCTAGCGCAATAAGGAGATACCTTTCGTAAAGGTACGATGGCAGCATCGGAGAGGCTCCGAGTGGACCTGGGCGCTGGAGGCTAAGATGCGGGAGTATTATCCTGATTTATTCGGCAGACTACGAGGACGAATTCTAGATCAAGTGGGGGAGAATTGTAACATACCGATGATAAGGTACTTCAAATTTCAACCCTTTAATTCATTATATTCCATTTGGTCCCAAAGTTCAAGAATTGTATGCAAAAATGGCCTTAATGGCATTTTAGTAATTTAAGGCTTTAGAGTACGCCATGCGTACATGGTGTACGATGAGCGTACTAGGGCGCACCCTAGTACACTGGGAGTACATCATTGTACGCTGGGAACACTTCCTAAATGGGGAAACCCTAATTTTTAGGGTTTGGCTAGTAATTAAGCATACTTATGGCCTCATTTCACTTCACCTAAACAACCTCCACCCTTTCATTCGTGTTTGAAGCCCTAGTTTTCCTTGGGAAGCCATTTCTAGCCTAAAAGTGGGTGTTTATGTGCTTAGAAGGAGAAGGAAGAAGCGCAGATCATCTTTGGAGAGTGAAGCACTTCGGATCTAGGATTTACTCTTCATTTGCTACCATTCTAAGGTAAAAAGCTTGCAACTTTACCTTTGAATCATATAGATCTAGATATCGGTGTTTTAGTGAAGTTTTTTGGTCCCAAATGTCTTATATTGAGCATGTCATGTTCTTGATGAGTTGAGTTGTCCTTTCAGGCCCTAGGAGGGGTCCTAAGCCATAAAAATGAAGTCCCAATGGTTAGTTTTACTCCATGCATCTTGTAGAAGGTATTAATGGATTAAGACCTTTAGTTAAGCACTTGTTGGGCATGTAAAGTCATATAGTTGGAAACTTTATGACTCTAAAGGGTATTTGAGCCTTGGATCTGAAATATAGACATAAGTGTTTAAGCCATTAACCACTTATTGAGTTTTGAAGCATTCGAGAGTACGCCCAGCAAACTCGTTTTACTCCCCGCGTATGAGGTCAACCACCCCGATGGTGGTCAGCTGCGAGGGTTTGGAGTACGCTCAACGTACCTCATGAGTACGCCCCACGTACGCACCCTGAGTTGGCTCGGTTGAGTTAACTGAGTTGGGTTACCTCGGCTGGGTTGACTCGGTTGACCTTATGGTTTTGACCAGGTTTGACCTAGAGGGTATTTTGGGTATTTTGAGATGTTGATGGAAATTGGTCATTGGTGGGAATAGGTACCAGTTAGAGAGTTGAGATTCGGAGTCGGGTACCTCATTAGTTTTTTTTTTTTTTTCAGTTTGTGAGGTGAGTTTTCATCACTATACTTATGGGTCTAAGGCACCAAGGCCGACCCATTGGTTTGATATCCTGAGATTCACTAATATGTTGAGTATGTAATAGATATGAATGTTTGTGCTAGTTATTGATATGCTAGTCTGGTAGATCTGTATGACTACCTGTGATTCCGTTGCATGATTATCTTTATATGCTTATTATCTGTTATATGTTGACATATTATGGTGGGTTGAGGTTGTATTGCTCTGTGCGGTAGCCAAGAAACCCCGCAACATTCCAGATATGAGTTGAGGGATGAGTAGGGCATGCCAAACCTATATTGAGGGCTCATAATCATTCCAGATACGAGCTGAGGACCGAGCGGTATGCCAGACTCGTACTGAGGGCTTGACAATATTTCAGTCTGATGACTGATCTAGTCTAGGAGCAATCCAGATATAAGCTGTGGGCCTGAGGGCAAGCCAGACTTATGTTGTGGGCTCATGGGTAATCCAGTCTTTTAGCTGTGGACCCATTACATGCTGTTATTGTATATATGTTATGTGGTTATGTGTTGGTACTTTGGGGGAACTCACTAAGCTTTGGATTACAATTTAGTTTATTGTATCAGGTACTTCGGATGATCGTGGGGAGGCGAAGGCGTGACCGTGCACATCCTCTTGTTTATGGTTTTATGATTATGGGATACTCTGATTGTTTTTGGAAAAATGTTTTGAAAACTATGATTTGTAAACAATTTGTGAAATTGGGTTGATTTTAAAAGTTTAAATTATCTTGATTTTTATGAGTGTTACATAGTTGTAGGGGGTGAAATAGACCTATACTGGTTAAAAGATATCAAAGGACACGGAAGGGACTCAGGGATTCGGAAGGGACTCATGGAGTCGGAAGGGACTTAGGGGTGAAATAGACCCATTACACGCTTTAGTATGATTATGTATGGTATGCGGTATTTTGGGGAAACTCACTAAGATTTGTGCTTACGGTTTATGTTTAAATGTTTTTTCAGGTACTTCCGGTTCAAAAGGGAAGGGCCCGACATGATCGCATCGCATCCACCTGTGTTTGACATTTTATGATTTCGGGATTGTACTCTGATAAGTGTTTTTATACTATGACATACTTGATGGTTTGGTTGATTTTAAACAAAATTTTTACTTAGTATTTTTGGGATGTTACAGCGTGCATGGGGCGATGTTACTGGATAGCCACATAAGCTATCTCATGACGCATTGCACCCACAACGTCTTCTCTAATTGATTTGTTTCATAATCAATCAAATTTTGGTATAGTTATGTCTATAACGAGTCCCAACCTAAAAAACATGACAATTGATAGCATGTGTCCGCGTCAGTAGATTAATATTAAACTGGTGTTATCGATTTCATGTCCATTCGATCAAAAGCAACTGCCAACCCCGTTCCTAATGTTTGCCTGCGCTTATAATTACCATATATATATATATATATATATATATATATATATATATATATATACACACACACACACACACAAGAAAATAATTATAACTATGAGTTTGTAAACCACATTTTGCACACAAGTAAAAATGAATTCAAAGCAATCAAAAAAAGCCTACTAAGTGGACTCGATGTGTATATTCCTTAAGTTACACGGTGTGGATTCGACAACATGATCGGTGAGCTTGGCGCACACCGGGCCGAGTACTCGGCAGCCGAGTTTGGGAAATTAATTCTGACCAATGGGTGGTTGGAACGACTACTTTTTCATTTAATATTTAAAAAAAATCCTATAAATACTATCACCTTACCCATTTATCTCATCAAAAACATTCTACAACTCAAATATTTTCTCTCAAAATGTCTTCTTCATCATCTTCATCGGGCATGTTTGATGCCTTGTTTGAAACGACCACATAGGTCATTCAGGAGGTGGAACAAAAGATCGAAGAACTACGACAACAAAATGCGGAGAATGCACGCCGGAGGAAGAGAAGATACATACAAAGATGTCGTGAGGTGGCTAATGAACGACTCATACATGATTACTTTGTCGAGGACGCCACGTTTCAAGGATATTTTTTTCGTCGCCGGTTCCATATGTATAAAGCTCTGTTTTTGCGTATCGTCAATGACACGATAACGTGTCTATTTTTTCAGCAAAAACGGGATGCTAGAGGTACAGTTGGTTTTACTCCTATACAAAAATTCGCCACTGCACTTCGTCAGTTAGCGTATGCCACTTTCTCCGATGCACTATATGAGAATCTTAGGATGTCCGGACGTACTGCACGAATTAGCCTTCACACATTTTGCATGTATGTCATGAGATTATATGGTCCACGATATATGTGCAAACTTATTTGTAGTGACATCTAACAGTTGTATGCTCATCATTCAAGTGTACACGAATTTCCTGGAATGTTGGGAAGCCTAGATTGCCTCCAGTGGGCATGGGGTTGTTGTCCGAATGCCCATAAAGGGCAATACACTCGAGGCGATCATGGTTATCCAGCCGTTATACTTGAAGCGGTGGCCTCACATGATTTGTGGACACATTATTTAGCTCTGTTGGCTCCCTCAATGACATTAATGTTCTTAACATGTCTCAGTTATTTGACGACATGTATAACGGGACTCCACCATACTTCCTTTCAAGTAGCTGGAACATCGTACATGAACGGGTATGATCTTGTCGACATGATCTATCCGAAGCATGCTTGTTTTGTGAAGTTATTGTCTTGTCCAAATGATCGTAAGTTTAAGAAAGCTCAAGAGAAGGCAAGAAAGGATGTTGAATGAGCATTTTGGGCTTTGAAAAAACGTTGGCATATTCTTAAATATTCCGTGCCTTATTTGGAGGAGAAGAAAATGCGTGAGGTGATGTATATTTATATCATATTGCATAATATGATTCTTGAAGACGAAGGAAATGCAATATGCGAGTATAACGAAAACGAGATTGTTCCACCGACACAAGCTTTTGAAGTTGGAAACGCGGAGTACCTAGCGAGGAGGACAATAATTAATGATGTTGAGACGCATCATGTTCTTCGTAGGGACTTGACGAAACATATTTGAAACATTGACCACATCGATCTTAATGCGGAACCGATCGACGATTTGGAATGTCAATTTTCCGATGGAGATATCCTTTAGGTCTATCTAGGTTTGCTAATTTTAGTTTCTATGTTTTTTTTTATTTTATTTTAAATCCTAAGTTTATTTATTTATTTATTTATTTTTGTGTGTGTGTTTTTGTTGTATTTTTCTTTGAATTTTATTGAAATTGTAGTCTTAAATTAAGTTAGTTAAATTGATTATTTTTAATATAAATTAATTTAAAAAAAAGATGGCAAATGTAACAACAACCAGGGGCGAAGCCAAATTTTTTTTTTAGGGTGTTCCTCATAAATTATCAAACATCCTAACATATATAAATTACAACATCCACAAAAACATATATCTTGATTAGCAACATCTACAAACATATATAAATTACAAATTTACTAAGGTCGTCGACGAGTTTTCATTTTATCAAACATATTGTTGATATCTTGATTAGCAACATCCGCAAAAACCTCTTTTTCAATATAAGTAACCAAGTTATCATTCATCCATTGATCTCCATTTTATTGCGTATCCTATTCTTCACAATCCTCATAGCGGAAAACGATCTCTCAACTGTTGCTGATGAATCCGTAAGTTTTCTCTTTGTTAAATATTTTTCCATGCCTGTTAAATGATAAGTAATCAATAAATAATTAGCATTGATTCTTATAATATACACAATAATAAATAATAAACACTGCTCTTTAAAGTAAACAGAAAACAAAAAGAGAAGATGGGGTTGGATAGAAAAGAAAGATATTAGAGTAAATAATAAACATTGCTTTTTGATGTTTCTGTTAGTTCTGTATGCTTGCAGAATGAAAAGAAAGATATAAATAATATGTATATTGAATAGAAAATAAGGCTCTCATTTTCTCCTTTTATTACTATTTAACTAATATACACATGTGTTATGACCGACATATCAATTATGGAGTTTCACACATGGCTTATATAAAACAAAATATAATAATAATCGGTAAACATATACCCTGCTACCTACGTCCCTAATTTTTATTAATAATACAAATTATTAAGATCAATAACCTGATTGCTTGCTGCCTTGCTCCGATCTCCAACTCTTGCTGCCGGTGCAAACTTCAATTAAGCGATTAGAACGAGGACGATGCCAGAACTCTTCCACGCTCCACCCTTCTGATTTGGCGCTGATTTGAAAAAAGGGGATTATGGGTTTCCGATTAATTAATTTGGTATCAAAAGGTGGCCTGGGCTAGTAACAAAAAAAAATCATAATTTCAGGGTGGACTTGAGCTCACTCTGGTTCTAACGTTGACAACAACACAATGAAAATGAGAAGTGTGACAAATATGATATGATGTGACGCTGATGTCGACCGTAGCAATATGAACCGTGGTAAGTATGACATAATACCACCAAACTTATATAGACGTGAAGGTGCAGACGAATAAAACATATCAAAAGAGGTAAAATGATCAATTTTTTTTAATAGATTGAAAATAAAATACTATTTGATTAAAAATTTGAGCGAAATAGAGCTTTTTCTTGATGGGCCTTGTAGCCCAAACCTCTGCAATTGTGAAGAACAGGAAAAAACTAAAAAGAGGGAAAAACACATCGACGAACCCGATGAATTGCCTAAAAAGATTCCGAAGCAATCTAACAAAAGATTTACATAAGTCGTACCCAAAACCCAGGAACCAGTAAAAGAAACTATAAATTGATTTTGATTTTACCAAAACCTAAATATAGGAATGTTTCCATAAAAAAGAAGAGTGTGAATTAAAAACAAAAAAAAGTCAAAATTCCCAAAATTCAACTGCTTTTTTCGTCTCTCAGATCAAAAACAAGTGAAATAGCTTGATAATATCATCATCATCGAATCCAAGAACGTGTTTGAGTTTAAATAGAATTCAATTTCCAAAATTTTGTACAAATAAAGAAAAAGAAACCCCAAAAATTAAATCTTTAATAAGCAAAAACAAACAATATGAAAAGATTAATCAGATCAGAAAACAAACCAAGAGGGACGACTCCAACTATTCTTGTTGTTCTTTCCTTGTTCCTTTGGAATTGTAATAATATCATTATCACATCCTCTTTTCTTGATTTTATTTTCGACTCTCTCTCAACAATTCCTTCTTTCTCTTTCTCTCTCTCTACGTATTTGCCTTTAATATTATTAGCTTCATATTTTGTGATTTCCCGAACGAAATTCCCTTTTGGGTTTCTTTGTTTTGACGATAGGTATTTGAAAGTTGAAATCTTTATGTCGGTTTTCGTCTGGGAACCCTAGTTTTTTTTTGTGCGTGTAAAAATCTAGGGTTTCGTTCATACTTCCAATTTTCGACCTCTTCAATGGAGACTGGTTCGGAAGGAGAAAGCAATCGCAACATCAATGGTCAATCTGATGGATCCAAGAAACCTAAACGCCAGATGAAGACGCCTTTCCAACTCGGAATGCTCGAAAAAACCTATGCGTGTATGTACTCATCTTTTTCTTCATGTTTCAATTGCTTTATTCGTTTTCCGATTCAAATTCTTATAATTTCTGTGCTTATTTCGTTCTAGATTCGATAAATATCATGTTAGTTTCTCCATGGCTATTCACCACACTTCATTGAGATGCATTTTCATGTTGTTATAACTTCAAACTCCAATTATCATTTGTTTTTTTCTGCAAATTATGTTACTAGAGCTTATTTCATATCATGGTTATTGACTTCAATCTTTTGCAGTGGAGATGTATCCATCAGAGGCCACAAGGGCAAAACTGTCCGAAACTTTAGGGCTAACCGACCGCCAGTTGCAAATGTGGTTCTGCCACCGCCGGTTGAAAGACAAGAAAGAAGGGACTGTAAAACGGGCGGGAGGTGATGGTGGTGAGTCTTTGAAACCTTCCAAACAAGAATTGGTGGTGGTTAGTGGTGGTGGTGGTGGTGGAGGTGGTGGTGGGAGTGACCATGGTTCACGGTCTCGGTCACACCGTGAGTCATGGTCGCGGTCTCGGTCGGCATCAGGGTCGGAATCGGAATCGGAATCGGATTCCAATCGGTTTAAGGAACCATTGGTTCATAGCAGGGCGTATGAGGTGACACAAAAGAAGATGATGTTGAGAAGAGTAATTGAATGTGTTGAGGTTCAATTAGGTGAGCCATTGAGGGAAGATGGACCAATTCTTGGAATGGAGTTTGAAGAGCTTCCACCTGGAGCATTTGGGACACCCATAGGTATTTTATAATTTATGTTTATAAAAAGAAATAATGTCTATAAAAAAATGCCTTTTTGTACTTGAAGATATGATGTATTATGCTATTGTGAATGGTGGTGTATGCGAGTTTTCATCGTGTTCTCAAACTTCTCATGTTGTTTTTTGCTAATTTTATGGAGTGAATGTAGTTTTTCTTTGTATTGTAGTGTATTCCATGAATCTTTTTAGTGTTTTGTAGTGTAAGCATATAAAAAGTTGATAGAATGAATGCATATTTTCGTATTATAGTGCATATCATGAATCTATGTAGTGTTTTGTAGGGTGAAAATAATGAAAAATCGATAAAGTGAATGCAAAGCTTTGTATTATGATTAGAACATGAGTATGGCAATTTACAATGTAGGGGTAAAACCGTAAAATCCTTTAGTTCTAAAGTGTAAAAAGTTACCCCGATAACACCTCATTCTTGTATTTTTCTAATGTATTGTAGTTTGTATGCTTTTGTTGGATGACATATTCTTATTATGTTACTATGCTCTCATGACCTATGGTTTATTTACTCTTTAGTTTAGATTTATTGCTTGTTAATTATCGATAATTCTACTAATTTATATATAATTTTTTTTTTTCGTTTTTGACAGTTGCAAAAAAACATCATGGACAAACAAACAGACATTCATATGATGGAAATTTATTTGACCAATCCGATCCTCGGTCAATCAAAGTAAGTCCTCTACTTTTACTACAGACATTTTTTCTTCTTTATTATCAAAAATATTGGAAAATTTAAAATTCTTGTGATAAAAAATGGTAATTTTTTGTAGACTGAGGTGGGTGGTGTTCGTGAGCCTGTGGGCCCTAATATTAAACATGAACCATATGGAGGTGTTTCTAGGTTATATGATTCACCAATTGGTTACTCAAGTGACCAAAGATTAGTTGTTCAAAATGGACAAATGCCACATACTTCTTATGTTTCTCAAGGACAATTGAAGGGTGTTAGTTTGATGACACAAAAAGGGGAAATGACACATTTATCCTCACCTACAAAAGATAATGATTTCATTCAACCAAATGAAGAAGTTATGCAAATGTGGAGGAAACGCAAGGTATGTGTATGTGTCAATGTAGTTTTTGGGATCTTTTCATAAATTAAAAGTGGAGAGAATGGATAGATTTGGAAAGAAAAGGAGAAAACATAAAAGTTTTTGTGTTCTTTAGTTGATGAGAGAAAAGAGAGGAACCTAAGGGAAAGTTTTGGCTATCTTTCTCTTCAACTTTTTTAAGACAAAACTACCCTCGACTCAAGAACATGAAATATACATAATACTTGTCATGTTCTTTTTCTTTCTTTCAAAGTACATTGTCTTAATAAGAAAAAAGATTCAAAGTACGTTGCTATTTCTTGTTGTATATTGATCTATGTTTGCTCTTGTAGAGTGATGATGCTGTTGGTGGAAGGGAAGGTCAACAATCTAATGAAAAGAGGATGCGAAAAGAGCTTGAGAAGCAAGATTTGATGAGGCGAAAGGTACAAGTATCTTTGGGGGTGTTTGGATGTGAGTTTTGAAAGTGATTATGTGATACTAAATAAGTAGAATCAAATAATCAACAGTAATAAAACTAAAACATTTGCAAAAGATAGTGTTTGGTTGTGTTTTTGGCTTTTTGCTGCTTGAAGTTAATCGAGTTTTTACCAAATATTGAAGGAAAAAAAAACTAGATAAAAGGGATAAATGTTAGAAATAGCAATAATCCACTTCCATATATTTGTATACTATAGCATCTACTTTCATTTCTTTCAAAGTTCTTTTTATCATAGTTGTGAAAATTTCTATGAACCCTAAATAATCAAACACTAAATCTTGATTATTACATCCAAACACCCTGTTAGAATTATTAATATTGTTTTAGGGACTTGTAAATTGTAATAGAGTCTTATATTTTTACAATTTCTTGTATTAGAGAGAAGAGCAAATGAAGAAAGAAATGGAGAAACAAGATCGTGAGAGGCGAAAGGAAGAAGAGAGAATGATGCGTGAAAAACAAAGACAAGAGGAAAGATTTCAACGTGAAGAAAAGCGTGAAATGGAAAGGAGAGAGAAGTTTTTACAAAAGGAATCTTTGAAAGCAGAAAGAAGAAGACAAAAAGAAGAGCTTCGAAAAGAAAGAGAAGCAATAAAACTCAAAGCTGCCATTGAAAAGGCAGCAGCAAGAAAAATTGCTAAAGAATCAATGGAGTTAATTGAAGATGAGAGGTTGGAATTGTTGGAATTGGCTGCTTCTAGCAAAGGGTTGACTTCAATAGTTTCACTTGATTATGAAACTTCACAAAATCTTGATTCTTTTCGAGGTATATATTTTCTTACAACTTTGCTTAATGCTTATTATATAAAATATAAACACCATTGTCTTATTGATGACATTAGTTTTGGTGTACATGGTTGTGTCTATAGTGTAAAAAAGTAAAACATAAAAAGTTGTTATACACACATACCCCACAAGTTTTTCCTTGAAGAAATAATTTTTTCTTTTCTCCTACTTAATTAAGTTTCATCCTTTTCAGATCTCTTATGTGTATTCCCACCAAAGTCTGTGCAAGTGAGATTAAAAAGGCCATTTTCAATTCATCCATGGATTGATTCAGAAGAAAATGTTGGAAATCTTCTTATGGTAGGTCCATAATTTGCATTTCTTTTGTTACTTTAAAATTTGATTTCATTATAGTTGTTGATAATAGCAACATTACCTTATTTTTATAACCAAAAATTTACTTACATTATCTACCAATATGGATAATGCATTTTATTTGTTACATATTGTTCTCATCACTAAAAAAAATGTAGGTACATTACTATTTTGAGTAAGGAATTGTAGTTATGTTGGTTTGTATGTTTAAAGAAATGTCAACATGTTGTTATTATCAATATACATACATTGCTAATATGCTATTATGGGTAAAGAAATGCATGTTGATTGTATTTCCTGCAATCTACCCTTTAAAAAGAGAAATATACCCCTAAATGTTAGCTTTTTATTCCAGGTTTGGAGATTTTGTATGACATTTACCGATGTTCTTGGTCTTTGGCCTTTTACCCTTGATGAGTTTGTTCAAGCTCTTCATGATTACGTGAGTTTCACAAGAATAATCTTTAATTTTCTTCCTTTTCTATTTGTGAGACCCTTTAAATAACTTTTTTTTTTTTTGAGTTATCAGGATTCAAGATTATTAGGAGAGGTTCACATTGCTCTGTTGAAGCTGATCATAAGAGATATTGAAGATGTTGCAAGGACACCCTCTGGTGGGCCCGGAACAAATCAATACACGGTTGCCAATCCTGAAGGTGGTCATCCTCAAATTGTTGAAGGGGTAATTTTCTATAAAATCCATTTATATTTATTCATTTTCTTACCTATGTGTATAAGAAGAGATTTGGAAGAAAAATGCTATATAATTGGGTAGAATTTAAAAAAAAGTTGGAAGTACTATGTTACTTATAATATAAAAAAATGAAAGTAAGATGCTATAATGAACATATAAATGAAAGTTATATTGATATTTCTTGTATTTAACATTTTTTTTTTGTAATATGGTTGTTGACAAATGGTGTGTTTTACTAGGCATATATGTGGGGCTTTGACATACGCAACTGGCTTAAACATTTAAACCCGCTGACGTGGCCTGAAGTACTTAGACAATTTGCTTTATCAGCAGGCTTTGGGCCCCACTTGAAAAAAGATAAAGGAAAACGTTCAGGCTTGACTGAAAATGATGAGGTGCATACATGTTCTTTAATTTGATCTTTTTGTTTGTGGTGTAAATTTGTGGATTGTGTATGAAAAAACTAAGACTATTAAGTAGTATTTGGTACGATGGAATCCGCAAAGGAATGGAATGGTTGATTCCATTGGTATGAAAAAAAAGGACCATTCTTGAAGTAATGTGATTCCTTCCCTTTTCTTATTATGAAATGGAATGAAAAAATTCAATATAAACCATTTTTTGTTTATGTAACTATTTGATGATAAATCGTCTTCAAAATTTTTACACGTAAGTCGATTATGAAAACTATTCTATTTACTTGCTTATTCCATTTCCATTACCCTGTCCATTCCATTCCATTCTTTCATCATTCCATTCCCTTCCATGATTCCATCCAACCAAACAGTCCCTAACTAGTATTTGATTTTGTTGTGCAGAGTAAAGGCAATGAGGATGTAATTACAATGCTAAGAAACGGTTCAGCTGCTGAAAATGCATTTACATTAATGCAAGAAAAAGGTGTTTCTCTTCAAAGAAAGTCAAGGCATCGTTTGACTCCTGGAACAGTCAAATTCGCCGCCTATCATGTTCTTTGTCTTGAGGGACCCACAGGCCTAAACGTATTAGAACTCGCTGAAAAAATTCAGGTTTTTTTTTTTTTTTTTTTTTTTTAATAAACTTTAGATTTTACCAACTCCCCTTTTTGTTTCCTTATTCTTATGCTTTCTTTCTTTTTGAAGAAAACTGGACTTCGTGATCTTACAACAAGCAAGACACCCGATGCTTCAATCTCTGTTGCATTATCGCGGGACCCGATTTTGTTTGAAAGAATCGCGCCTTCAACATATTGTGTAAGGCCTGCATTTAGGAAGGATCCTGCAGATGCTGAGGAAGTGATTTCATCTGCTAAAGAGAAGATACAAAGTTATGCAAATGGAATTTTGGCTGGAGTTAATGCTGAAGATGTTGAGAAAGATGAAGATTATGAATGTGATGTTGCTGAGGGGACTGAAATCGATGATTTTGGTGCTTCATCTACTATTGAAGAAGTTAAGACAGAAGAGGTTGATGTAGATATAAAGCAAGAATATGAAAATACCGGTGAGTTTTGATCCTTCAAGGCTGCGTTTTAAGCTTTTTCTAGGGATGTTTTCGATGATTAGGACGAGAAGGGTATTTTCGTCTTTTGCACATACGAGAGATCGAGAGCAAGTCCATGTCTTGCCATGTTCCACCTTTCTGGATGGGATAAAAATTGTAATTTTTGTCTCATTGATATCAGTCTGAGTCCCAGTCCAATGCAAGCCAAACACATGTTTTATTCTGTCCTGTGTTGTGTTACAAATGGGCCCGTAGGGCCCATTTGTTATACAGGACAAAACACGCCCCTGTATGTGTTTGACATGTATTGGACTGGGACTGAGACTGATGTCAATGAGACAAAAATTACAATTTTTGTCCCCATCCAAAAAAGGTGGAACAAGGCGGGACATGGACTTGCTCTCGATCTCTCGTGTGTGTAAAAGACGTAAATGCCCTTCTCATCCTGATCATCGAAAATAGCCCTAGAAAGCTTCTACATATAGTTGTATAGGGAGTTACTCCAATTTTATGGTTTGTTGAATTAGAAATGATTTTATAACTGTTTACTTTTAAAGGTATTGGTGCGAGTAGTATCAATCAAGGAAGTAGTGAAGTTGATGAAAGAATATCAGGAGAAGCATGGGTTCAAGGGCTTACTGAAGGAGAATATTCGGATCTTTGTGTGGAGGATCGACTCAGTGCTCTTGTTGCTTTAATTGGTATCGCAAATGAAGGAAACATTATCCGCGTAGTTCTTGAGGTATTTATAAAAAAAAAATCAAAATTTAAAAAGTTTTTGTTTATATTTTGTCATCTTATATACGACCCTTGTACAGGATCGCTTAGATGCTGCAACTGCTGTGAGAAAGCAAATGTGGACAGAAGCACAACTCGATAAAAAACGCATGAAAGAAGAATTCATATCCAAATTTCAAGATTCTTCCTTAATGGAAGGTGGTCAAAGCCCGTTGATGCCCACCATTGACAATAAAGTCAATGAAGGGATACTACAAACGGGTCAAGATAGTTCCGTGGGTCAACCCACGGGTCAAAATCAAATTCATAATAACGGATATAACACAGCTGAAAGATCAAGGTTGCAATTGAAGGCTTTTATAGGTCATAAAGCAGAAGAAATGTATATGTATAGATCTTTACCCTTGGGTCAAGATAGAAGGCGAAACCGTTATTGGCAATTTGTTGCATCTACTTCTAGTAATGATCCAGGATCCGGAAGGATATTTGTGGAATTACAAAATGGTTGTTGGAGACTAATCGATTCAGAAGAGGTAATAAACTTTATAAATTATTTAATTGTTTTGAAGAAAATGTTAAGAGTTATTTTAGGGTGTTTATTCAATCTTTCTTCTTGATGCAGGCGTTTGATGCTCTTTTGACATCATTGGACACACGTGGGACCCGTGAATCCCATTTACATGTAATGCTACAAAAAATCGAAACATCATTCAAAGAAAACATCAAAAGAAACATCAATTTCCCCAAAAACACAAACCGAAATGTCTCGATTTCTGATTCAACCGAACAATCACCTTCTTTCCACATTGAGCTTGGAAGGAATGAATTTGAGAAAAAGAATGCAATGAAAAGGTATCAAGATCTTGAGACATGGATGTGGAAAGAATGTTTGTATTCATCAAATTTATCTTCAATGACACATGGGAAACAAAGATGCGTTCCTTTACATGGAGTTTGTGATTTTTGCCATGCGTGTTATTGCTTCGAGAATGTGAATTGTCCTATTTGCCCCCGGTGTTGTAGGCCGTTTAGTACGTTTGGGGGTAAATTGAGTTACCCTGAAGAAATTCGGGAAAATGTTGGTGATTTTAACGATTTGTGTGATTGGGATGTTAATGATCCGTTGAGGATCCGATTGATTAAGTCTTTATTAACTTTCTTGGAGGTATGAATATAATATGATTACATACAGAGATTATTATTTTATATTTTGTATTGTATTATCATCAAGTCTTGTTTGACCTTTTTTTTTTTAATTTATAATTGCAGGCTTCGGTTCCTTTTGAGGCATTGCAATCTTCTTGGATGGATAATAATAGGAATGCATGGGGTTCAAAGTTGCATTGTTCTTTGTCACCTTCAGATCTTCTTCAGGTAATTTTGTTTTTTCTTGTTAAGTGTTGTCTGGATAAGGGCAAATTTGTAAAATATCAGGACTTACTTAATAGTTAATAACATGAATTAAATTTGGTTGCAGATTGTTACATGGTTTGAAAGTGTGATAAAGCGGGACCACCTGTCATTAAACTTTGAGACAACAGAGGAGATTCTTGGAACCTCCGGTGTACCGGAAAAGGCTGTTTCCGGCACCGGTTCAGTCCCGGTCCTTCCGTGGGTCCCACAAACAACAGCTGCTGTGACTTTAAGGCTTTTAGAGCTTGATGCCTCAATTTCCTACACCCCTGAACAAAAAGCTGAACTCCATTTGGTAGATGAATCAAACGATGTCTTAATGGAGGTATGTATCACTTTCTATTAAGTTTTTCTTGTAATTTACCCAAAAGAAACAATATTATTGTATGAAATTCCGGATTTAACCTTGTTTCTCTAACAGAAAGCACCATTGAAGTTCACGTTCTTGAAGAACATCGGGAAAACGGTATCAGAAACGGAGCACGGAAAACCGATAAAACCGCCTCGTGGCGGCGTTGGTGGACGGAACCGTGGCGGCAAGTGGCGGCAACGGGCGGCAGGTGGAGGTTCAATAGCAGCCTCCGGCAGCCGGCAAAACTTCAGAGACAGTGCCACAATGAGTCAAGTCATGAAGCAACAAGCACATGGAAGAGGCCGGAGAACAATCCGGCGAAAAAGAATAGAAAAAACCATTGAAGAAGAAGAAGAAGAAGAACCAATGAGAAATTTTGAAAATGAAGAGTGGGTTAATGAACCTGTTGATAAAATGGAAACGGATGATGCTGTGAATTTTCATATCAGTGAAGATGAAGAAGATGAAGATGAAAGTGAAGATGAAGGAGATGATGGTGATGAACATCGGGTGGAGTTTGAAATGATGGGGAATGAGGAAAGTTTAGGGTATGGAGTTGCAAATAATGAAAGTAGATGGGCAGAAGTGGAAATGAGCGAAGATGAAGGGTTTAAAGGTGTTGAAGAAGAAGAAGAAGATGATGAGATTATGAATGATGATTACGTAGATGGGGATGATGGAAGGAATTTTAAGGTTGAGGATTCGGATTCTTTTGGTTCGGGGGATTTTAGTGATTGAAGCCCATAAAATATATATCATTTTTGAAGGTAGCATATGATTTTAAATTCGTTCTTCTTTTTTTGTGGTTTTTTTAGTTGTTATACAGCAGCATATATATAACTAGTCCATGTTTTCTTTTGCAAAATCAATCACGTAGGAAGCAAAATAAAAGCGATTTGTAATTGTGGTTTTCTTGTTGTACTTTTTGTTCTTGTGTATGATGGTGTCTTGTATTAGCCTATACAAGTCAAAACCCTCAAGTCCATCAGCTTTCATCCTCCACGTGTAGCACCTAAATTTTGTGGGTAAACTAAAAATTAAAATAAATACAAGTAATTAAAAATATTTACTTGAAAGGTTAATGTTGGAGTTGATGTATGTATCTTTGATTTAACATTTCTAACTAGTGTGGACATTGTTTGTAAGAATGATTAATGTATGGGGACAAATTAAAAAGCCAAGGGATTTAGTTTGTTAGTTAAAAAGTCTTGTTTATGGTTTTATTTTGCTAAAATAAGGAAGGGAGGAACCACTCTTGCCAAAACGCCAAATCGATTTCTAGCATCAACACCAAGTGTTAACGTCTATGTGGCAACTTTGTTCTCCATTTTAACAATGATGAATTAATTATTTGATCCACTAAAGGCATTGGTTTAATAGGTTTAGTGGTGGTTTCTAGTGTTATATTACTAATATATTGAAGTTAATCCATCATTTTGGTCAAATAATGATAGATAGAACTTTGGTGAATATGTTGAGCACTAGCCATTATGGATCACTCTTTGATCCATCTAAATTCGAATTTGACCATGGATTTAGTGTTGTTATGCAATACGCCCCCACCCCTACCACTGACGACACAGATCATTGGCGTCTTCCTCGACTATTTCTATAGTCCGCTTCTTTCTTACGGGTGTATCTCTACTCTCCCCAATTGCAAACCCAATTAAAGTAGGTGCTATATTATTCAAAAAAGCGATTAATATTTTGATGCTGCTATTCTCAAGATACTATGTCGATTATATGCTCTATTCTTAGACTACCCCTATTGGGGGATTTTTGGTGAGCTGCTCACGGAAAATTTATTAAAAAAAAAAAGAAAAATGAATTAATTTTGATGAACTATGCCAGTAAAGCAACTCAGCTTACAAAAGATCACAACCATTTCACTTTAACACGTGTTGAACAAAGAAAGTGTTCCACTATATTTTTTTAGATAAGATTATATATTTTAGGATAAAAATCATTATCTACTAAAAATCTAATATTATCTCAATAAAAAAAAACTAAATTTTTTATTTTTTTTCTCTATAAATAGAGTATAATATTGATATACTTCATATCTCATTTCAACTTTTCATTTCTAAACCCTTTTGATTTCTTTAATAAGATGGATCCAAATTTCGTTTTAAATCTTGATGATTCTCAAGATTCTCAAAACTTTCAAAGTTATGAAACCTCACAGTTTTTCGCAAATCCCAATCAATTTCCCATCACTGAAAAATGTTCAAACCTCACAAAATACCGAAAAAAATCCAAGAGGTGATAAATTGGATGCTGATGAAGATATCGCTTTAATGTCAACATATTGTATCGTTAGTGAAGATGAGGGACGTGGAAAAAACCAAAAGAAAACATCAATATGGGCACGAGTGAAGGAGCTATATGATGCAAATCAGGCGGAAAACCCAAAAGCTTGGTAACAGGAACATAGCTCAAATGAAAGGTCGTTATAAACAACTTAATGAAAGTGCTGACAAATGGGTTGGTGTTTACCGAGAAGCATATAGAAAAATAAGAAGTGGAATGAGTATGAAAAATGTTGAGAATGAAGCTCATAAATTGTATGAGACAAATGGAAGCAAGTTCAATGACACAATTGTTTTTAATGAGGTTATGTGTAAACATCGAAAATGAGATTTATAGCTAGATCATGATGCAACAAGATCACGTCCTGAATATGAAGTGGGTGATGAAGAAAGTGGTGGTAGCACAAAAAGATCAAGGTCTACTGAAGAAGGGGAGTATTGTGTCCAATCCAACACAGAAGGGGCAAATATTACTGGTTCAACAATTAAACGTCCAACGGGTAGAGATGCGGCTAAAAGAAAAGAAAAAGGCAAGGCCCTGTTTGATAGACATTTTTGGCTGACTCGGTCAGCTGAAGTTGTTTGATAAACGAAATTTTGGTAGCCGACTCGGTCAGTAAGATCTGAGTGAGAAAGAGGTCGTGAGTTAGCTGACTGAGAAATGAAGAAAAGCTTTCCAAACTTACCCATGGGCTTTAAAAATACTAGAGTGGAAAAGAGGGTGAAGGGAATCGAACCCCTCAACTCACATTCACAAACCAACATATTTACCACCAAACTAGAAACTTTCTTTTGCTATAGTTGCTCAAACATTTTATATATTGTATAACATTGATTTATTATTATTATTATTATTATTATTATTATTATTATTATTATTATTATTATTATTATTATTATTATTATTTTTATCATTATTTATATTATTATAATTATTATTATTATTATTACTATTATTATTATTATTATTATTATTATAATAATTATTATGATTATTATTATTATTATTATTATTATTAGTATCATTATTTATATTATTATAATAATTATTATGATTATTATTATTATTATTATTATTATTATTATTATTGCATAGAAACGTATAGAGCATCAGGGTAAAATGGTCATTTTGCATCAGTCAGCACATTCAGTCAGATGTACAATCAAACAGTATGATTTCTTACTTAGTCAGAATTTCTTACTGAGACAACGTTTCTCAGTCAACACTTTCTCAGTCAGCAACTATCAAACCGGGCCTAAGTCTCTTAATGAAGTTGTTGCAGAACTTCGTGCAATGAGGCTTAGTAGAGATAGTGAAGTAGAAGTCATGAAAAAAAGAATCGACTTGGATCAACAAAGGGAGCAAAAAACAGATGAAAGGGAGCTAGTGAAGATGCAGAGTTTGCATTTGAACACACTCCTACAAAAGGAGCACTTGTCATCTGAAGAAGAGAACATGAAACGTTTTCTAATGTCTAAGTTTTATGGAAACTAATTGCAATTTAGTGTATGTTTTATTTTTAGTATGCTTTTAGTGTATCTGTAAGATATTTTATTTTGTATTTGTATCTCATGCTTTTAATGTATTTGTAAGATATTTTATTATGTATTTGTATCTCATTCTTTTAATGTATCTGTAATATATTTTGTTGAATGTAGAGTTGTCATTATCATCTTTACTGAATGCATAGTTGTCATTATCATCTTTCAGAGACACCACTCATTTCCAATGTGCTTTTAATGAATACAAAGTTGTCATTATCATCTTTATTGAATGCATAGTTGTTAGTATAATCTTATCATCTAGAAAATCCGCCATTATCTTATGTGTATAAGATTCTGTGATGTGTCGTCTTTTTATTGGATCCTTGGATTTTATCTAAATAAACTAATTTTAACATTATCTTTATTTAAAATTTGAAAAAAAAACAAAAATCAATATTCTTCCTATATTAATAGAGTATAACACTTACATATTTTCATATCCACCTCTAGTTCTTCATTTCACTCTTCATTTCTAATCTCTTTGAAAAATGTTTCATAATGCAAACTCATCAGATGGTTCCAGTTCATTGAATATGAATGAATATGATGAATGGGAAACACAAGTTGTTCAACAGAATCGACAACTTGATGTTATCATGAGTGAGTTACTCATAGGCATGCCAAACATGAATGTAAGAGATCATCCTAGAGCAAGAAGGAGGTATTGTGATCGGGAACGTGAGCAGGGTGAGACACGTTTGATGAAAGACTACTTTGTTGGCAATCCAACGTATGGTGAAGAAAAATTCCGTGGTAGATTTCGAATGCGAAAACCACTATTTCTCCGCATAGTGGAAGCTGTTACAACATATTTTCAGCAAAGACGTGATGCCACAGGCAGACAAGGTTTTTCACCAATACAAAAATGTACTGCAGCTATGAGGGTGTTGGCATATGGGACATCAACAAATGAACTTGATGAATATTTAAGAATGAGTGAGACTGTGACAATGGATGCTCTTGTAAAGTTTGTGGAAGGTGTCATTTCATGCTTTCGTGAAGAGTACCTTAGAAGTCTCAATCAAGATGATTTGGCACGACTGCTTCATGTTGGAGAAGAACGTGGATTTCCAGATATGGTAGACAGTATTGATTGCATGCACTGGGAATGGAAAAACTGCCCCACCGCTTGGGTTGGACAATATGCAGGTAGAAGCGGTAAGACAACAATAATTTTGGAAGCTGTTGCATCGTATGACTTATGGATATGGCATGCATTCTTCGGAACACCAGGTTCGTGCAATGACATTAACGTCCTCCAAAGGTCTCCTCTTTTTGATGATGTCTTGGCAGGTCGAGCATCAAAGGTGAGTTACACTGTGAATGATCTAGAAAATAATATGGCTTATTATCTCACTGATGGCATATATCCTTCATGGGCTGCCTTTGTAAAGTCAATAAGTTCTCCACAACTTCGAAAACACAAGTTGTTCGCTGAACATCAAGAGGTTGCTAGAAAAGATGTTGAATGAGCATTTGGAGTTTTACAAGCTCGTTTTGCATTTCTTCATCGCCCTTGTCTTGTGTGGGACAAAGATATGATGGGGAAAATTATGATTGCATGTATCATTATTCATAATATGATAGTTGAGGATGAACGACACACATACCTTCATTATTATGATCCATCAGAATTTATAACTACAGAAGACGAATAATCTTTTGAATACTCTACTCAACGAATTGGAGATCTATCCAGTGACCAACAGGGCACAAGTTCGCAATAGAGAAACTCATAACACTCAAAAAAACAATTTGATTGAGCATATATGGAAAAATTCAGAACTGAAGAATAATTTAGTAGTTTGCATCTTCTGTATTTGTAACTTATTTTATCTATTTTATTAGAGTAAATTACACGAATGGTCCCTATGGTTTGGGGTAATTTGCGCATTTGGTCCCTAACTTATTTTTTAACTCGGAAGGTCCCTAATGTTTGTTTTTGTTACGCGCTTGGTCTCTACTTTTTGTTTTTGTTTCGCGCTTGGTCCCTGTCTTACCTAAAAAGACTATTATTTAAATAGGGAAAA